CGGGTGAGGCGGGCACAGCCACTCCCACCGCAGCCCCTCCTCCCCCATCCCAATCAAAGGCGCCCAGCCGTCCAGTGCCCCCACCCTAAGTTTAGGCCAAAGTTCCTATCTCTCGGACTAGGGCCCCGCGTCCCCGCCCCAGCCGCGTCCTCACTCGGCGGACGCGACCGCTCACGGTCCCCAGCACGGCCCGCGCCCCGGCAGCCAGGCCGCGGTTGTATGTGTCCAGGGCGAAGCGGGCGGGCCGCCGCAGCAGCTCCGGGGACGCGGGCTCCCAGGCCTGCGCGCCGGCGTCTCGGCGGGACGGGGCGGGGGTAGCGGCCGGGAGCAGCCCCAGCAACCACAGCAGCGGCAGCCAGGACGCCATCGCGAGGGCGAAGCCGGCGGCGGAGCCCACAGACAGCTCCGACCAACCGACCCGACTGAGCAGTCCGAGACCTTGGGGCCCGAAGCCCCGCCCCGCTCCTGGGCACCGACCAATGGACGTCCGTTTGGGGCGCCTGCGCACTCATTTGTTTACGCGAGGCACGTGGGGCGCGCTGACTGCGCAGGTGGGTGGGGTCCAGCCCGGCGGGGATGAGCGGGTCCTGGCACAATCCCCGTCTGCAGGAGCCCCAGCCTGGGAATAACCCTCTTAGGTCTCCGGAGCCAGCCTAAGAATAAAAATAACTAACATTTATTGCATTTTTATTACATGTTAACATATAATCGTTGTAGCAGTCCTGCGAAGTAGATGTAATCCCAATTTAATAATTAAGGAACTAGAGCAGCGGTTCTCAACCTGTGGGTCGTGACCCCTTTGGGGGTCGAACAACCCTTTCACAGGGGTCGCCTAAGACCGTGGGAAAACACATATATAATTACATATTGTTTTTGTGATTAATCACTATGCTTTAATTATGTTCAATTTGTAACAATGAAATTGGGGGTCGCCACAACATGAGGAACTGTATTAAAGGGTCGCGGCATTAGGAAGGTTGAGAACCATTGAACTAGAGGCTTAGAGAGATTAAACGGTTTACCAAAGATCGGATAAGTGATGGAGCAGGACTTGAACCCAGAGAGTTGGCCTCAGAGCCTGGATTCACAGTTCGATTCTTCTTTGAGGCCTCTCATCAGCAAAATGACAGCTAATATTCCCTGGATTGGCAGTTAGTTCCTCAGGCTATTGTGAGGGTCAAACAAAACCATGCAACCATTCGGCACTCCTCAGGGCCTAGCAAGAGGAGATGTTAGGACAAGGGTCTCAACGCCTGGGCCATTCTTACTAAATACTATTCTTGCTAAATATTAAACTGTGGCACAGTATTTTGCAGGCCAGCTGTAAATAGGATGAGCTTGACATTAAGGGTAGCCAACTGAAATCAATGAGTAATTGACCAAATAGTGTATGTAAGCAATGGTAAGCTTCTGGGAGATCGAGCTTTGGGTATGAATCCCCTCTTCTTTACTTGCTGCGAGTAAATAAAACTACCTTGCAACAACCACGTATCCTTCTTGAATAGAGCACCCCAAGCCGCGAACCACCTGAGTTGGGTAACAGAGGCATGAGCAGTTACATTAGGCTAGCGCTGTCTGTCTACTGGAGCTCACAGTCTAGTGGAGAGACAGATGAGAAAAAGAAATATTCCTGCATGACATGCCAAGCTGAGGGAGAAGAAAAAGGGAAGAGAGCATCTAAGGGAGTTAGAGAAGTCACAGAGTGGGTGGAGGGTTACCTTATAATTGGAGAGTGAGGGAAACTGATGTTAAAGATCACCTAGTCTAGTCCTGGCAGGTGTGACTCAGAGGATACACGTTTTAAAGGGCCTGATGCTGTTGCACTTTGGTTAGTAAACTACAACCTGAGGGCCAGGTCTGGCAGACTGCCTATTTTGGAAAGAAAGTTTTATTGGAACACAGCCCTGTCCATTTAGTTCAGCTATTATCTATAATTGCTTTCACAGGACAAAAGCAAAAATGAGCCTTGTGACAGAGACCATGTCGCTCACAAAGCCAAAATATTTTACTATTTGATCCTCCACAGAAAGTCTGCTGACCCTGCCGTAGCGTTTCTCACCTGGGTCATGTGTAACTTCAGGAGAATGCAGCAGTATTCCAGGGGGGAAGCCAAAATAGAAATGCTAAATATACCATGTCTTCCCAAGGGGCAGTTTAACTCAAATATAAATAATTTCCAGCATCATTTTTATATTAAAACAAATATGAAAATATTATGAAGTAGGGTGTAAATTCTGCATAACTTTCAAAAGTGAAAGACTTTAAAGAAATTCATCTCATGCCTTTCAGGTCAGCACTGCTTCCCTCTACTTCCTCCACGCCCCAATCCCTCACACCTGACCAAGATGCTTGTTTATGTTCCTCCATTCAAAAGGAAACTTGGGTGGAAAAGTTGAGAAATGCTGTTTTCATACAAAGTGGACGTTTATGTGCCAGCAAATGGTGAGTGGTGGAGATCTGAGGCTTTACATTACCTATGCCAGCAGGTGAGGCAGGCTGTGTCTAAGAGCTCTTAACCACCCTACCTCACAGAATCAGGCACATGTAGGCTTCTGGCTCACACAGACCTGGGCTTGGATCCTGGCTCTCCAACAAACTACCCTTATGACTCTGGGTAAGTTACTTTCCCTAGCCAAGCCTTCATTTCATCAGCTGCAAGATGGCGATTAAAATACATATTTCATAGGTGGCCATGAGGAGTCTAAGAAATCATGGAGGGAAAGTGTTCTGCACAAGTAACTATTAACACGTTAGCTAAATTTCCAGAATATATAAAGAATGCTGAAAAATAAAAAAAACAAAATGGTCAAAATCAATTGAAAAGTGGGTAGAAGGCATGGGCATTATATCGAAAAGGAAATAAAAATAGCTTTAAATGTATGAAATATGCAACTTCACTCATAAAAGAAATAAGAACACAACTCAAATAAGATGCCATTTTTCACCTACTGATGGTAAAGATTTAAACATTTGATAACATTCTATTGTTGAGAGTGGGAAAAGAAGTATAGTTATACAATATTGATGATAATGCAAGTTGTGGAGGGTAATCAGTAATATCTATCAAAATTATAAAAGCTTATGCTTAGACATAATTACACTTTCAGGAATTTAAACTATAGAAATAGTTGCAATCCTAAATAGATGAGGATTTTTAGAGCATTGTCTTTTTTGTTTGTAAATGTCCAATAATAAATAAATAAAAATACACATAGTGGAATACTATATAGCTATCAAAAAGAATAAGGCAGCTTAATGTATATTGATATGGAATGAGCTTGAGGCATGTTACATGAAAAAAGAAAGGAGCAAAACAGAGGTACAGCCCTGGCGGAGTAGCTCAGTTGGTTAGAGCATCGACCTGATACACCAAAAATTGAAGGTTCAATCCCTAGTCAGGGCACATACAAGAATCAGCCAATGAATGCATAAATAAGTGAAACAACAAACCAATCTCTCTCTCTTTAAAAAAAATAATATGTCAATAAAAACAGTTTAAAAAGCAGAGGTACAGAATGCTAGTTACAAACATATGTATAGATAATATATATACATATGCTCATATGTGCATAGGCTATACAATGGCCTATAAGGCCTTCCATGACCTAACTTGCCCTTTGGCACCCTGTCATGACCCCTCTGACTCATCTCTCCTCCAGCTCTGCTCCACCTACACTGGCCACCTTGCTTTCTGAGACACCCCACTTACCTGCCTGCCTTAGAGTTTTGCAATGGCCGTCAGGTAAGTTGTTCTAAATGGGGTTCACTTCTTCCCCTCCTTCAACCCTTTGCTCAAATCTTCCCTTCACACTGAGACTTATACTGACTACCCTAATTAAAACTACACCCCTCACCCTTTTTTTCCCTCTTATCCTACTCTTTTTCTTTTTTTTTTCACAGTACTTATCACCTGCTAACATTTTATTATTCAATGTGTTTAGGTTTATGGCTTAAAGCTACGTTTATGGCCGAAACCGGTTTGGCTCAGTGGATAGAGCGTCAGCCTGCGGACTGAAGGCTCCCGGGTTCGATTCCGGTCAAGGGCATGTACCTGGGTTGTGGGCACATCCCCAGTGGGAGATGTGCAGGAGGCAGCTGATCGATGTTTCTCTCTCATCGATGTTTCTGGCTTTTTTTCACAGTACTTATCACCTGCTAACATTTTATTATTCAATGTGTTTAGGTTTATGGCGTAAAGCTACGTTTATGGCTTATTGGCTATTTCCCTCCAGTAGAATGTAAACTACAAAGGGCCAGGATCTTTGTTTTGTTCAGTGTTAAAACCAAGCATAAAATAGCTAGTAGGTACTCAATAATTATTTTCTGAATAAGGGAATGGAAAGATACACAAGACACTGGTAACAGTTGTAACCCCCAGGGTGGGGAACTGAGTTACTAGAGGTAAGGATGGAAAGGAGACTTACTTTTCAGTACATACCCTTGTATACTTTGTACCGTATGCTTGTATGAACTGATAAAATTTTAATAAAAAAGTTTATGCTAAAACTGGAAGAAGTGACAATCTGGACTCAACCCTTCACCTCACATATGGTGGTCCAGGTGCAGAGCAGCTAAGTAATTTGCCCAAGGTACGCAACCAGAATTTAAACCCACATCTACTAACTCCAGAGTCCTAGCTCTAACCATTAGGCAACAGAGCCTTTTGATTGGGGGCCCTGTCAGCCCATTTAATGTAGCATGATAGAAATGCCCAGGTATTCTGAAGGTGATGGTTTTCCATTACAATGAACTCCAAGTGATGGACTCAGTTCTTTTGACACATGAGATTTTGGCTGTACAGTGCTTAGCTTGACATAAATGGGGATACTGGCCTTGGGGATTCTTTTATGAGAATTTCACTGTCAAAATAAAGTGTCCATCTCAGTCCCTTGGTAGTTGGAAGCACAATGTTCTTAAACCCTGCACTCCCAAATATTTCTTCTTCCCAAGCAGTCAAGAGGTCTGGATGAGCTGCTGGGTGTTGGGGGTTGAGGGAGGGATTAGCGGTCACTTGGACTAGGAGTATTTCTAGGGGCTATTAAAGGCTTCATGCTGAGCCTCTGGAACATGGCTGACTGGTGGGAGGCTTTCTGGGTCCCAACCAGTTGGTGCATCCGCCGCCTCTGCTGCAGCCAATAAAGCATCTCCACTTTGTCAAGCTTCATCTTGTCCAGGTAGCGCCGCCCCTTGAACGTCACTGGCTCACCAAAGATGACCTCAACCTCCTCTAGGAGCGAAACCAACGGAGCCTCCATTAGATTGAGCTTCCTGTGTAGGCGGTTTCGGATTTGATTCTCCTCCAATAAACGAGTCAGATCCATGCCAGTCTTTTGGAAGAAACGGTTGGGGTCAGAGGCGTGTCGCTCAAACCACTCCAGTTTCCCCAGCAATATCTCCCGCAGCTGAATGGGCTGCATGGTCTGCTCCCAGGCACTCAGCAATAAAGGCAGCTGCCTCAGGCGGGCGTTGGAGCTGTACTTGATAGCCATGTCCATCCGGTCCTTGTCAGGAACCTCAAGAATGGACCACAACCGCTGCAGACGCTTCTGCAGACTCAGGATTTTGTGGGGTTCTCCCAGGAGGCTGGCCCTCCTAGTTTCTAGACTGTGCCCCAGCACCGTGTTCCAATCCCATTCTCCTGGCACAAAATCTGGCTCTTCATCTTCTAGCAATGGAGGTGGGTGCTGAAACTTTAGGGACTCTCTGACAGGGGGCACGATCTCCACAGGAACATCCTCTTCATACATGTGGAAGATGACATGGAGGAAATCTGTCTCCTGGTTGGTGAGGTATTTGAAATAGTCACCCAAACGCGAGATGTTTTTCAACCAGTTCATGCCTGAGGTCTTCTTCGGCCGTCTCTCCCAACTTTTGCTTACTTGGAACAATGAAAGAGAGGACTGGAAAGTGATTTCTCTCTTGGGACAAAGACCAACCAGCTTGGGGTTGATGACACGATGCCGTTTATCTTGATGCAGAAAGGCTGAGGATAGGAACATTGACCAGTCTTTACTGGCTGCCGGCTCAATCAAGGGTCCCTGGTCAAAAGAGAAGTGGTCAAGAGAGACACGGCTCATCAACTGCTTATAGACCTCCCTGATGCTATTACCAATGAAGCGATCAATATCCATTTCCTCGATCTGTTTGGAATCCAGTTCACCAACTAGGTGGTTGTACAGGGCTCCGGTCTCTTCAACGTGGAAGGAATCCAAAAACTTTCTCTTAGAGACCTGTACACCAGCTGCCTGGACCACGATCTGATTTCTCAGCTTCAAAGTAACTGTCACAGGCTGTGGATGAAGTGGAGGGGGTTTGGGGAGCTGGGGGCCCCACTGCCCAGAGGTTTCTTCTTCCTCATTCAACATTCTCTGCAGCTCTTCTATGCGATGTGCTGTGGCTGGGTGGTGGGTCAGGGCCCCCAGGAGCGGGGACACACCTGAGTCCATTGGTGCGTAGCGAGTCCGCTCCAGTTTCATGTTCTTCATTATCTGCTTCAGGTCCTCGGCCACCATGTCCTCTACCAGCTCTGGTTTGCTCTCTGCAAACAGGACCAGTGGGGTCAAGGGGCGAGGGAGGAGGGGAGGAAGGCCCAATTCATCTGCTAGCTTCCAGCCCTCGCGCAGAGAGGGCATGGACCGGCCCCTATGAAGATGGGCGTAGAGAGGCAAATAGGAGGTGCGCGGAGACCTGCTGGAGACAGCCATCGAATACCGGGGCAGTGACTCAATCTGTGAGGAAGTGAAGCTTTCTCCCTTCTTTTGCATGGCAGGCAGCCAGCGGAGAGCCTTTTTCTTTAGCTGAGGGATGGACTTTAATTCCTTCACAGGATCGGGTCTGGGCTCACTGAGAAGCTCTCGCGAGCGGCTGAGTTGGATGAGATAGCTCAGGTTGAGGTTGCAGTGTGGTATTTGGGCAGAACTGGCGCCGTGAGGCCTAGGAGGCTTGGAAGCCGCAGGGGGTCCGAAGGGGCGCAGCTGGAATATGCTGCCCTGGGCCTGCGGTACTCTCAGCAGGGAGCGGAAGTCGGCGAGCAGGCCACGGTAGACCTCGGGGTTGGTGAGGAAGATTGTGCAATCTCTGGCGAGGTTGGCGGCCAACCGGGTGAGCGTGGCGGATTCAGTGAAGACGTGCGTGGAAGTCGGCATTGTCTTCAGCAGGCGCAGGTAGTGTAAGAAGAGCTGCTCGCAGCTGAGCAGCACGTAAACCAGCACCCGCTTCCGCAGCCTCTGGTTGTTGAAGTGGCTCAGACTAGGTTCGGGGGGAGGCTCCCGCCAGCTGCACTTCAACTCGTCCAGGATGACCTTTCGGAAACGGAGAGGGCCCGCGGGAGGCATCTGCTCCTCCAGCTCGCACCGGGCCAGCCGCTTGGACACCTGGCGGCACAGTGATGCCACGGTCAGCCGTGAGACGGGTAGGGACGGTAGCATTGGGACCTCCTGCGGGAGGCGCTTCGGAGGCTCTGCGTACGTCTTCCTGCTGGGGAAGATCGACAGCGGATGCAGCAACTGGTGATAAAACCGCTGGAGCTCAGGTTCCGGTTTAAAGGGCTCCATTTTAGCGCTGGCGCCGTAAGCTGTCGAGGTAGAGGCGTCCAAACGGTTACTAAGGCAACCAGGGCCCTCATAGCCAGAGTGCGCTTGCGCGGCCAGTGCTCCTCCCTCTCCTCCCCCCCCCCCCTCCGCCTGGAACATTGGAGATGGGAGGGCCTTGCGTGCGCACGCGCCAGGAGGCGGGACAAAGCCTGGCTTCCGAGGCTCCGCCTCCTCGTGATGCTGCTTGGATTTCCGCTGTAGGACTCGAGCTGTTCTGGTCCTCCTGCCAGTGACTGGGTCCGAGATGGCGTCGGACTCGGGGGACCGGGAGACCGCCTGCACGGTGAGGGTCGACGCCTCATGTGGGAGCCTCGCGGGACAGAGAGCCACGACCCCTAGGGGTGATCGTTACCGCGAGAAGGGGAAGGAAGAAGCGGGCACTAGGAGCGGGACCTGGGGACCCGGCTGCAAAGTGCGATAGTAGGAGAGTCCTTGGCTCTAATGTTGGAGGGTGGTGGTCCTGAATTGATCTTGAGTGATAATGAAGGCGCTTGAGGAGGGCTCAGGCGTTTCCCCAGGCCTCTGGGGTGGTTGTAGGGGAGGTAGTGAAACAGGGTCACGCAAGAGGGGTTCTCAGCTCTCATCGGCCGGTCCCTGCCGTCCTTGCAGTTGGAGTTCGCCGTGCAGATGACCTGTCAGAGCTGTGTGGACGCAGTGCGCAGGTCCCTGCAAGGGGTGGCAGGTAAGAGCCATACATTTTCTGCGAACCGTCCAGAGGCCTCCGGGAGAGGCAGGCAAATCTCCTTCCTTGAGGCAAGGGAAGGCGCCAAGCGTCAGCCTTGGGTTTGGACAGGCTGCCTGCCAAGCTTTGTGACCTCAAGTCAGTTGTGTAAACTTCTAGCCTCGTTTCCTCCCTCACCGGCCAGAGGAGGACAGTATCACCATCCTGATGTGTGTAAAAGTGAGGGACAGTTTGGTTATTTGTAGGGTTTCCTTTTCACAGAATTGCCCTGCTCCTTTTTTAGAGAAAATTTTCTGAGTTTATTTGAGCCAAACTAATGACATGTGCTGGGGAACACGGCCTCAAATGCTCCCAGAATTGCCTTGTTCTTGCAGGGGAGGGGGTCTGTGTCTGCCTGATCTCTTACAGATGCTGCCTGTTCCCCGGCAGTGTCCAGGATGCTGCAGGGGCTCTGAAGAAGCAGCCGATGAGACCTTTTGGAGCCACATCCCCAGTATTCCCGTCTCTCACGTGCTGCCTCCTCCCGGTTGCATTTCTCAGTTCTGCCTCCTTTGAGCAGGCACCTTGTCTGTACCACAGCTGTTATTCCCTTCTCTGCCTGATGGTTAACCCAGGCATAGTCTGAGTTCTCCCACAGCCTGTGAGCTCCCTGAGGATGAGGATCAGAACTTTGCCTGACCCTGGCCTCCTCCATGTTGAAAGAATACGGAGGAGGGAAACCAAAGATAAAGGGAAGGCCAATGGTCAGTAGCATTCAGTTCACAGGGCGCTAGCTGAACATGGCATGAAATGCCTCATTTAACCTGTCTTCTGGCCTGCCCACGGCTCCCCTGGGCTTTACCCTACAGTGCGGCAAACACACTTACTGAGGTCAGAGCAGAATGATTGTCTTTGCTTTGGCAGCATGCATACTCAAATTGGAATAATACAGGGAAAATTTGCATGGCCCTTTAAAAAAAAAAAAAAGAACAAGAGCATGATTGTAAGCCCTACAGGTGAGAGCAACATTTAGAGGATTCAAGGGTTCTCTTAAAAGGCTTGGGAGCCCTGAATATCTGAATGAAAGGGAAGCCCCTTGCTTCCTTTTTTGAGTTGGCTTGATGCTCTGCAAAACTCAGCATGTGTCAGAGTTATCCCACAGGCTGGTACTCTCACAGGGGTGACTTTGGGGACTTGGGGGGCAATTGAGACATACTGACTCTTGAACCTGACCCTCGTGGAACACACAGAGCTCCTGCCCTCACAGAGGACTGAAGTCAGTGCAGCGTGAGTTATGAGGGGAAGTGGCAGCTGCTACAGGAGGGCAGAGGAGGGGGTCCCAACCCAGCTGGAGGCTGGCGGCTGCTTATCAGGTGAGCAGTGTCCAGGTGAAGTGCTCGGGCTCTGGAGCTAGGCTGCCTGGGATGCATTCCAGTTCCACAGTTTACTACAATGTGACTGTGAGCAAGTTTCTTAATTTCTCTGTGCCTCAGTTTCCTCATCTGTAACACGAGGATAATAGTAATCAGCTCACAGGGTTACTTGAGTGTTACTATAGGTGAAGTACGAAAAAGCCCACAGTGCATGCTCAGTCCATGTTAGCTCTCATGATGATGGTTCTAGAACCCTTTCTTATGTATGTATGAGCTTTATTGAAATGTACTTCACATGTCACAAAATCACCATTTAAAGTATACAGTCCAGTGGATTTTAGTATACTCACAGAGTTGTGCAACCATCACCACTATCAATTATATTTCGTCACCTCATGAAGAAACTGAACCCTTTAGCACCACCTTCCTATGCTCCTACCCCCTAATCTCCCTCCTGTCCTTATAGATTTACCTATTCTGGACATTTCCTCCAGAATGGTATCATCTAATATGTGGCCTTTTGTGACTGGCTTTCTCATAACAGTGTTTCCAAGGTTCATCCATGTTGTAGTGCATAGTGCTTCGTTCCTTTATATGGCTGAACAGGATTCCACTGTATAGAAATACCACATTTTTTATCCATTCATCAGTGGATGGGCATTTGGATTGTTTTCACCTTTGGCTATTATGAATAATGCTGCTCTGATAGCCTGGTTTTATAAAAAACATTTTTTAAAAATTTTGTATGGCCCTGGCCGGTTTGACTCAGTGGATAGAGCATCAGCCTGCAGACTGAAGGGTCCCCGGTTCGATTCTGATCAAGGGCATGTACCTTGGTTGCAGGCACAGCTGATCGATGTTTCTCTCTCATCGATGTTTCTAACTCTCTATCCCTCTCCCTTCCTCTCTGTAAAAAAAATCAATAAAACATATTTTTAAAAATTATGTATGTTTCAAAAGTTATAGATAACGCCCGGCATGTAATAAGGACTCACAACAGTCCTGGGATTGGTGACATTATCCTCACTTTCTTTATAAAGAAACAGCCTTAGAGAGGTTAAGGGCCTTCCACAGCTAGAAGGCAACTTCCGAGCCTGCCTTCAGCCATGGGAGGTTGGTGAAGATGGGGATGGGAGTCACCCTCTGCTTCTCTCCTCCCTGTTCCCAGCACAGGGGTGCCAGCCCTCTGCTGCCCTCTACTCCTCCTTTCCTCCCAGGTGTCCAGAGTGTAGAAGTGCAGTTGGAGAACCAGATGGTCCTGGTGCAGACCACCCTGCCCAGCCAGGAGGTGCAGGCTCTCTTAGAAGGAACGGGGCGGCAGGCGGTACTCAAGGGCATGGGCACGGGCCTATTGCGTGAGTAACTACTGTGGTCTTGGCCTTGCCTTTCTGGGAGGGAGGTGGCCAGGGACTGGTATAAATCTAACCATAGGATTTTGTGGCTTTGGGTTGGAGAGACTTTGGAGAAGGTGTGAAGGTTATGTGGGGCTCTCTCCAGGCCCTTGCCCAGCTGATGAAGAGGTGGGTCTGGGTGAGGTGGCAAACCAACCCAGGTGTCTAATACCTTGCAGAGAATCTGGGGGCAGCAGTGGCCATTCTAGGAGGCCCTGGCCCTGTGCAGGGGGTGGTGCGCTTCCTACAGCTGACCCCTGAGCGCTGCCTCATTGAGGGAACCATTGATGGCCTGGAGCCTGGGCCACACGGACTCCATGTCCATCAGTTCGGGGACCTCACAAGGAACTGCAACAGGTAAGTTGTCTGTAACCTCCCTTGCGGCATCCTCATCCCCCCCAGTTGTGTACTCACTATGTGCAGGGGACTATATTCAGCCCTTTACACACACTTTCATACTTTGTTCTCATACGTACTCTGTAAAGCATATACACACAGGCCCATTCTACAGATAAGGAAACTGAGGCTCAAAGAGGTTAAATGATTTGTCAAAGGCCCCAGAGCATGTAAATAGTAGAGTGGGGTTTTGAACCAAAATCTCACTTTGATGGTCCTACTCATAGCTACCTTACTGTCTCTAAGATGGAAGGTGACTCCTGGACACGGTGACTCCCTGTGTCATGGTGTTTGTCATACTATTAGTAGTTTACTCATTTGTGTCTCCCTTAGAAGCTTATTGAGGGCAGGACCAATGTTCGATTCTTCTTAGTACCCTCAACCCAAAGCTTGGCATAAAGTGAGCCTGTTTGTTGAATGAATGTATGCATGCATGAATGAATGAAGGAAAGACAGAAACAAATGTAGTTAAAGTAAGAGGATGGATCGTCTGGCCTGTGAGCTGCTGTTTCACTGGCTACCTGCTACCTTTTCTTCTCAGCTGTGGGGACCACTTTAACCCTGATGGAACATCTCATGGGGGCCCTCGGGACTCTGACCGGGTAAGTGTCCAGCTCTGTGAGGCTTAGGCTGAGACAGAGCCCAAGGTCCCCAGAGACAGGCAAGCAGCCCGTGGGGCCTTTGAGTGAGATGCCTTTTTGGGGTCTTTTCCCTTCACCTCATTCCAGTTAGGAGCATTTGTGACACTTTCTGTCAATGGAGGGGCGACCACTGAGTGCTCTGGTTGCAGCACAGTGAGAATCCTGCTGGAGGCCCCTGGGAGCCCAGAGCAAGCCCCTGATGCAGCCCTAAGGGTATGGGCAGTGAGAAAGCTTCCTGGGGAAGTGACGGTGTAGAAGTGGAAGGTTTTACCTAAACTGGACAGGCCATTCCCCAGTGCTCCAACTCCTGGTCCCAGAGTTTCATTTTTCACCAGAGAAGTGTTTTTCTCAGCGATAGTGAGTCACGTGTTGCCTTAATGATGTTTGCCCTATTTGAGTACTGCTTGTTCCGTTAGTTACTCAATGTTTTGATTTAAGTTAACTCATTGTTTTTCTTTAGGTAAATTTGGTTATTTTTAGTGCTTTAGTCTGTCACAGAGTTTCAAACATATTCTAAAGTAGAGAAACTCGCCCTAGCAGGTTTGGCTCGGTGGATAGAGTGTCGGCCTGCGGACTGAAGGGTCCCAGGTTCGATTCTGGTCAAGGGCATGTACCTTGGTTGCAGGCACATCCCCAGTAGGGGGTATGAGAAGGCAGCTGATCGATGGTTCTCTCTCATCAATGTTTCTAACTCTCTATTTCTCTCCTCTCCTCTCTGTAAAAAATCAATAAAATATATTTAAAAAATAAATAAATAAAGTAGAGAAACTGCTGTCCTGAACCGGCAGGTCTCTTTTCCCAGCTTCAGCAGTCACCACCTCATGGCCAGTCCTGTTTCATCTACACCCTGGCCCTTCACCATTATTTTGAATCAAAGCAAGACATAATGAAGGTAGATTGATTTTTTAACGAGACACTTGATAATTGCCACAGAGAATGAAAAACCAGTACTTCCTTCCAGCCTTAATAGGAGGATCGTTGTAGAAATAAATCAGTTCAGGCTTAAACCGAGTTCTGTGTCCTGCCAGGGACTGAGGTCCCTTTATCTTTGTTCAAGTGATTAGCAAATGTTAGAGAGGTGTAAAAGGCCTGTGAACACCGAATGGAAACTTTGTCCTGGATGTCAAACAAGCGATTTAATGTTTCCTAATGCCCTGTCCTCACACGCCTAATGCCACCCACTTCACTTCCTGCGTTGTGTGTTCCCCCATGCGGGTTTCAGTACCAGGCAAGCTCTGGGTCCGGGTCCTGGTCCTGGGAGCTGAGCACTCCTCTTCACACCCCACCCCCAGGACCTTCTGCCACAACACAAATGAAAACATGGTGTGTGTTTATAATTCATGTAACTGATTTTTTTTTTTTTACTTTTGACAGCTGTCACATTTCTCATGGTAAAAAGTTTTTACTCCCCCGCCCCCCGTACCCCCACTCCCAGAGTTTGAGAAGCCTTTCTGTCATGTCCGTTGCCCTGGGGCATGCTTGTGTTTCGTGTATCAGTTCTATATCGCTGTGAATTAAATTACTCCAAACTGAGGGGTTTAAAACCACAAGCATTTATCATCTCATGTTCTCTGGGTGCAGTTTAGGGTCTCTCAGGCTGCAGCCAAGGTGCTGGCCGGGACTGCAGCCATCTCCATGCTCTACGTGGGAGGGTCCCTTCCACACCGGCTCCTGTGGCTGTTGGCAGGCCTGGGGGCCTCCATGGCTGCTGGCCAGACATGTGTGCCACGCGGGCCTCGCCCCAGGGCAGTTCACAGCACAGCAGCTGGTTTCCCTGGAGGAAGGGAGTGAGAGGGGCATCCGAAACCGAAGCCATACTTCTTTTTGTCACCTGTTGTTGGAGGTCTAAAAAGTTCCCATTCTGCGATGGAGCTCACACAAAACACAGTGAAAAGACTGGAGATAATGTGGGACCTCTGATCACTAAGAGAAAAGAAACCTATGTCGACAGTTTCCATGCTGCAAACCAAGTCATCCTGATTGTTTAATTAGAATGACTACCGCTTTAGTCTAATTCGCCATCTCTGGGTTCTAGATGTGGTATATTACAAACTGCAGCTTTCATATTCATGTCATTTGCCTTACTTGTTGAACCATCGTGGCGCACATTTGTTTAAACAAAAGAAAAAAGTGAAACTGAAAGAAAAAAAAAAGTAACCTGATCTTGAAAGTGACACCAGGCGCAGCCCACCCTCAGGGGAGCGCGCAGGGTGTGAATACAGGGGAGGTGCACCTTACAGGCTGTCCTCCTCACTGAGCCTTGAACCGGGCTGAGCAGGAATCAGGCAGGTTTGACAAGCAGGAGTGGGAATGGCAGGCTCAGCAGAGGAAACACCACAGGCAGAGCCCTCGAGACATGAAACTGCTAGAAGCATCTGGGAACTGACAGCCCGAGTCTCTCATGAAGTGAAGGTTTTTGAAGAGCAAGAGGCCACCCCGTGACTCAGGCCCTGGTCCGGGCCCCTCTCAGGGCCGAGAATCAGAAGGATCTGGAGCCAGTTGCTCTGTTGTGCCCAAGCCCTTGATGTAGACAGAGGAGGACTTGAGCGAAAGCTGCATGGCCAAGGTGACCATGACGACTGGCAGGTTCCTTTTGGATTTCAACATCTGGTTTTGGCCAGATGGAAAAAAGTTCAATGTGGGAATTTACATCCACGCCTGGTTGTCCTGTTTCATGTCTCCTAAGTGGTCTCAGCTTCCTCCCCTTCTCTCCTTTCTCTTCAAACACTTAGTGCTTCTGTACTGGAGGGATTGCTCCAGAGCATGGGGTCACCGTGTCATGCCCCAGCCTGAAGCCCTTCTTGGCTCCCCAGTGCCTGAGGGTACAGGCCCTGCTGGGCTGCTTGGTGTGACGTTTGAGTTCCACCCACTGTGTCGAGGAGGGATTGGAAAGGCTGCCTCTCCTGACCCTCTACTGGGGTGCACCTCTGAGCTGCACTCCTGCTACTGCTCCCTCAGCCAAGTCCTGAAAACGCTCCCCAAGGCTCTGTGTCATTGCCTCTCCCTCCTTATCTTTCTACCATAAAAGCCCCAACACAGGACGCAACAAAAGAGCCAGATGTAAGCAGCAGATGTCTCTCTGGGAAACAAGATAAAGAGAAGTGGCTCTTCTTGCTGCTTGTCAAACCCGTCATACAGTGACATGCTTTGCGTCCCACACAGCCATAGGCACTTGCTTCTGCCCAAGTGTCAGGTTGGGGACAGTTTATTTGCACAGATGTGAGTCTCTGTGACTCATCAGTAGGTCTTGTCACTACAATATACACTGTTGTACTAACCCTGTGTGTCATAATCACTCCTCTGTCCCACATCTGGCTCCCACTGAGCTGCGAACCCTTGAGGGTGGTGACTGCACACGCACCCCCCATGCCTGGCAGAGGGTGTCTGATCTAGGAGATGCTCAGTGGATGTGTTACATTTTTGTTACCTTCCAGGGCAGAGCCAGCTTCTGAGCCAAGTCCTGAAAACGCTCCCCAAGGCTGGACAAGCCTTGGCCCCTGTGTTTCTTCTCTCTGTTCTCAGAGGGTGGCCATCAGGGAAAGGATGCTGGCTGCCTCTAAGGGTCAAGAAGCCAAGCGTGGCCAGCTTAAGCCCAGAGGAACTGCAGATTGTCAAGGGCTCAGAGTCATCAGGAGGCTGGAGAACTGGGCTTGGAAAGAAGTAGGAACTGGGTTAGCTTCTGAGGCCAGGAGGCAAGGCTGGCAACGGCCTCGTGGGAGAAACAGCCTGGTCCAGTGGTCATGGCTTCCCAGGAAGGGGTCACTGGCTGTTTTCAGGGTGCTCTCATCCTGCCCAGGATTTCGGTTCCAGGGAGGGAGCATGCAGTTGGCTTCCTTGTGTTCTGGGCCATCTCTTTATCCTACCCGGCTGTACCCACAGGGGGACTCTGGTACTTTTGGGGAGTCAGAGACTGGGAAGCCAGAACCTAGCAGCTGTGCTCCACATGCTCTTTCCCCCTGGGTCTCGTTGCAGCACCGGGGAGACCTGGGGAACGTCCACGCTGATGCTAATGGCCAAGCCATCTTCAGGATAGAGGATGAGCAGCTGAAGGTAAGCTGGAAAAGAAAGTGGGGACCTTTCCTCACAGGTGGGTACACTGTCTGAGGCCATTTGTTGTCTCCCCTCAAAGGTATGGGATGTGATTGGCCGAAGCCTGGTCATTGATGAGGGAGAAGACGACCTGGGCCGGGGCGGCCATCCCTTATCCAAGATCACGGGGAACTCAGGAGAGAGGTGGGTAATGCCGCCCCCGGCAGGAGGCTGTGCTCTGCCAGCCGAGCATGGGGACCCCACAAGCGGCCCAGACAAGTGCCCACTCTTGACCACACATTCTTCTGCAGGTTGGCCTGTGGCATCATTGCACGCTCCGCTGGCCTTTTCCAGAACCCCAAGCAGATCTGCACCTGCGACGGCCTCACCATCTGGGAGGAGCGAGGCCGGCCCATTGCTGGCAAGGGACGAAAGGAACCGTCGCAGCCATCCCAGCCCCCTGCCCACCTCTGAGCAAGGCCTCCGCCTCAGTCTCAGGTCCACCATCCTCCCAGCTGATGCCATCCTCTTCCAGGGGATGGGGGAGCCCTGCTTGCCTAGTCCGAGAACAAGGGTACGGGGTGTGCAGGGATTGCTGTGACGCTCCCTTGGCAAAGTAAAGTTTTTCTATTCATATGGAACTCTGTTTTGTCCGTGTCCCCAGGTCCCATGGGCGTGGTGAACACAGTCCCTCTGCCCCTGCCCTCCCCTTCGAGAGCCAGCTCTTGGGCTTTGGAGCCAAACAAAACTGGATTTAAATCCACACACCTCCTCAGGGCCCCATCCTCCTCAGGATCACAGTGAAGGACCACACAGTCATATCGCTCTTTGTGCCTTGTCTCCCTCCCCTCACTGTGGCCCGTGGAACCCAGTGTGGACAGCCACCTCCGGACCTGGGGGTCAAGGGATGCTCCTACATCCTCCCAATGCGTCCCCCCTTTAAAAAAGTAATCTGTCTTGAATCAATTTCTTTACTCACAAGAGGAAGATTCTAAATTAATCTAATAAGTGCTTAGCACAGGGCCTGGCACCTGGTAAGTTAAAGGAGCAGTGGCTGTGATTCTGAAACCAAACGGGGTCCTGGAGGCAGCCCCAGTCAAGCTCCCGTCTCACAGAGATGGCCGATATCCAAGGGTGTGTGTGGGGCCAGGGATTCTGGTCCTCCCCACTCATCTATCTGCTTTGCTGCCCACCCCGACCCACACTGGACTGCGTCAGGCTTGCTCATCCCTGACAAAACTGCTCTTAGGACACGTGGGCTGCCAGAGTACAGACTTTGCCCTTGACGCTGCCTGCGGGGAACCAGATGGGTGGTTTCGCATTTAGCTGGCCTGGGCCTGGGCCGAGATGTGCCTGGCTCTGCTCCCATTCCCAGGCCTTGCCTGGTTCTCCCTGAAGGCTGCTGGCTGTGCCGCTAGCCCCAGCCCTTGGACCCTGCTCTTTCTTGCCTAACCTCTCTGGTTGCTTTCCAGCTCCCCTTGTTTCTTGGGGAACCAATTCTTTTCATCCTGGGGTCCAGGCTGTCTTTCCATGTCCGCCTCATTGTATGAACTCCTCTTGGACTCTGCCCACAGCCAACCCCTGACCTCCACTCACCTTCCTGCTGGAAGTAAGGCTGGATTTAACCCTTTTATGGCTAAACTGCTCACCATCCTCTGCTGCAGTGGTTCTCAACCTTCTGGCCCTTTAAATACAGTTCCTCGCCCTGACCTGTTTGGCTCAGTGGGTAGAGCGTCAGCCTGCGGACTCAAGGGTCCCAGGTTCAATTCCGGTCAAGGGCATGTACCTTGGTTGCGGGCACATCCTCAGTGGGGAGTGTGCAGGAGGCAGCTGATCGATGTTTCTAACTCTCTATCTCTCCCTTCTTCTCTGTAAGAAATCAATAAAATATATTTTTTAAAAAAATAAATAAATAAATACAGTTCCTCATGTTGTGACCCAACCATAAAATTATTTTCGTTGCTACTTCATAACTGTAATGTTGCCACTGTTATGAATCGTAATGTAAATATCTGATATGCAGGATGGTCTTAGGCGACCCCTGTGAAAGGGTCGTTCGACCGCCAAAGGGGTCTCGACCCACAGGTTGAGAACCGCTGATCTACTGTGTTTCGACCCTTAAGAATCACCTTCCCCATTAGCTTTTCTTTTTTCTTTTTTTTTAAAAAATATATTTTATTGATTTTTTTACAGAGAGGAAGGGAGAGAGATAGAGTTAGAAACATCGATGAGAGAGAAACATCGATCAGCTGCCTCCTGCACATCTCCCGCTGGGTATGTGCCTGCAACCAAGGTACATGCCTTTTACCGGAATCGAACCTGGGACCCTTCAGTCCGCAGGCCGACGCTCTATCCACTGAGCCAAACCAGTTTCGGCAGCTTTTCTTTTTTCTAAACTCTTAGCTGTATAGTTTACAAACTTTGTTTTTAATCACAGAACACTGTCCATGCATCTTGAAGCCCCATCTGTAAAGCAGATGTGGACTATCCTGGGGCTCTGGAGAGCACAGTTTGAAAATCTTTACCAAATTCAGACATTTTTGTGTTACCTCTCAACTTCTGCCATGTCCACAAACCACCTGTATTATCATTCACCAAATACTTTTCTTTACATTGATTCATTTTTAAACTTTCTTAAAAAGGAAATTGTAATCATATTTGCTAATACCGTACCTATATTGTGATTATTAAGTGTCAGCCTCTGTTTTAAGCACTTTCCATGCAGTAATTAATTTAATCCTCATGACAATACTACAAAGTAGGTACTGTTATTATCCCATGTTACAGATGAGGAAACTGCAGGACAGAGGTGGTGGTGGAACTTGCCCTAAGACACACAGTAACATGACCCAGGTGGTCTGGCTCCAAGTCTATGCTCTTACCCACTATATTAGTTCTCATTGTCAAGTATGGAAAGCAAGATTCATTGGTCATAAACAGAAGTTTGCTGCCGAAACCGGTTTGGCTCAGTGGATAGAGCGTCGGCCTGCGGACTGAAGGGTCCCAGGTTCGATTCCGGTCAAGGGCATGTACCTGGGTTGTGGGCACATCCCCAGTGGGAGATGTGCAGGAGGCAGCTGATCGATGTATGCTCTTACCCACTATATTAGTTCTCATTGTCAAGTATGGAAAGCAAGATTCATTGGTCATAAACAGAAGTTTGCTAGAAAAAGAACACACATGGCCATTAAAATGAAAATTGTTTAGCCAGGAACTGCCACACATGGTGTATAAACTAAGCTGTTTTGCTCTGCAATTTAGGGAACCCAGACAATTCCTTTTGCCGCCTGTTTTCTCAGCTGCCATTGATCATCTCTCTGCCACAGCTGCTTTCTCAGTGGCCCCCGCCTCGTTGTCTTCATGTCTCAGGGACCCTGAGCTCACCCTTTCTGGCGTTCTGTTCTCAGTTCTGCCTGGGATTCCACGTTGTGGGTTTGTAGAGCTGTGAACCCTGAAAGAACCTTCTGTTGTCTGCAGCTGAATTCTGGCAGAGGGTCCTGATTGGACTCCTCTTCAGAGCAATGGCAGAGCCCCTTCTCAAGGATCCCTGTTGGCTGTTTCCACTACTAGTGCTCTCAAGAGGGCATCTTTGTGGTCCCTGGATTAGCAGCCTGTGTGTCACCTGGAAATGTTTGGAATGCAAATTCTGGGGCTTTCACTCCAGACTTACTGAATCAGAAACTGTATGGGTCGGTAAAAAGAAAATGTATATATGTTTAAAAATAAAGAAAAAAATAAAATGAATTTTTAAAAAAAGAAAAAGAAACTGTGCTCTCTGGCCAGGGTTCTCAGTGGTTAGAGCATTGGAATGGTCTTGGGTTTGATTTCCAGTCAAGGGCATGTACCTGGGTTGCAGGTTCGATCCCCATACCCCCCGCAAACAGAAAAGTGCTCTGAATTCCCTGGGTCTGATCGTCTAATAATACCCCTGTCAATTTGAGCAGGAAAGAATGCTGTCATCATGTTTATGATGTACATTAGTGGTATCAGTGCACTGAAAAGACTACTGGTATTAGCAATTGCTTTATTTATTTTTAAAGTATATTTTTATTGATTTTAGAGAGGAAGGGATAGGGAGAGAGAGATAGAAACATCAATGATGAGAGAATCATTGATCGGCTGCCTCCTGCACGCCCCCTACTGGGGATGGAGCCCGCAACCTGGGCATATGCCCTGACCACGAATAGAACATAGGTCAACGCTCAACCACTGAGCCACAGTTGGGCCAGGCCAATTGCTTTTTTAAAAAGATTACTGTGATAGGCTGATAATAGCCCCAGAATTATCAGGTCCTAATCCTTGGAAGCTGTCAATCTTACCTTATATGGAAAAAGGGTCTTTGCAGATGTGATTAAATATTTCGAGATGAAATTACCCTGGATTACTTGCATGGGCACTAAATGCAATATCCTCAGGTGAAGATTAACAAAAGAATAAATTTGTGGTAAATTTGTTATAGCAGCCACAAGAAACTGATATAATTATAATTCAATGTTTTGAAATTAATTAAAGCTTAGTGTTTCTTAAGCCTTTAAATTACAAATTTCATTGTTCTATTTATAAATCTAGCAAAATAAAAACTATTATCTTTACTTAGTCTTTGGTAAAACTCAGGTTACACTGGATACACTGGACTCCCTTAAACAATCATAGCCATTTGCAACTTAAGTTTTCTCAAGTTTTAAAAGTGCATTTGGCCCTGGTTGGGAAGTTCACTTGGTTAGAGCGTTGTCCCCATATGCCAAGGTTGTGGGTTCAATATTTGGTCAGGGTACATACAAGAAGCAACCAATGAATGCATAAATAAGTGGAACAACAAATAGATGTGTCTGTCTCTCTCTTCCTCTCTCTTTCTAAAATCAATAAATAAAAATAATTTAAAAAATAAAAGTATATTTGTATATTTAATTTTCATAAATATCACAGATGCCTGACCTAAGTGTAAAGTTCCCAACATACTTCCTGGTAAATCTTAAATATATAAATACAGTGAAACTTTTCCTACCATTAACAAACTTAAAACAAAATTATGCATTGTAGGTGAAAATCACAACCTAAAATCAATTATTAAAACCTTTTTATTTTGAAATTATTTTAGATTAATAAGAAAGTTGTAATGTAGATGAATCTTGAAAACATTATGATAAGTGAAAGAAGCTGGACACAAGAGCCATATATCTGTCTGATTCCATTTATATGAAAACTAGAGGCTCGGTGCACGAATTCATGCACAGGTGAGGTCCCTTGGCATGGCCTGCGCCCTCTTGCAATCCGGGACCCCTCAGGGGATGTCGGAGAGCCAGTTTTGGCCCAATCTCCACAGGCCAGGCCTAGGGACCCCACTGGTGCATGAATCCGGCACTGGGCTTCTAGTATGCATATAAGATCTTTGGTTAATCTCTTACGACCCTCCCTCCTCCCCTGTTCCCTCTGAGATTCATCAGTCTGTTCTTTGTTTCCATGCCTGTGGTTTCCACTCTTGCATTGAGTGTCTGCCCCTGGTGGTCAGTGCGCGTCATAGCTACTGGTCAGATGGTCAAATGGTTGGCTGGTCGCTTAGGCTTTTATATTTATAGATGTTTTAAATAGGCAAATCCAGAGTCAGAAAGATTAGTATCACTGACCCGAAATCAAGGTGTCA